ACGCGGAATTGCGCGAGAAAATTCGATCTAACGAATTTTTTTTTTTTGATGCATTATTTATGATCGCCAGTGTATAATCTTGATATTAATGCTGCATCGTATGTACTGTACAGCTTACTGATGATCATCATGTCAGATGTCACTAGTCAACGTGATCGCGGAAAATATCAAGGTATCGTTGGAGGAGTTTGGGGTTTATCCACAATAATAGGACCTTTGGCCGGAGGTCTTTTTTCTGACCATCTAAGCTGGAGATGGGCTTTCTTTATCAATCTTCCAATTGGTACTATAACTGTAATAATAGTAATTTTATTTTTACATCTTCCAAGATCAAGTGGTTCTTTAATTGAAAAACTTAAAAGAATAGATTATTTAGGTTCAATTCTTACATTTACTGGTGTAATTTGTTTATTATTACCAACTAATTGGGGTGGTAATACTTATGATTGGAATAGTCCTCAAATTATTTGTCTATACATTGCTAGTTTTATTCTATTATCAGCTTTAGCTTATGTAGAAATTAAGGTTGCTTCTGAACCTATTATACCTGCTCAAATATTTAAAGTACGAACTGCTGTTGCAACTTTTATATTTAATTTGTTATTTGGAATGTCATTTTTTTCAATGATATATTACACACCTTTATATTTTCAGGTAATTTTCTTAGCATTTATTTTTTTTATTATTATTATGTATTGCCACTTTTTTCCCTAACGCTAACAGTTTTAACATATTTCACTTAGGTAATAAAAGGTGTTTCGGCTACAGAGTCGGGTCTATTGATATTACCACTTTTACTTGGTGTAGTAATATTTTCAGCCGTTGCTGGAATGATAACATCATACACAGGAAGAGTTCGTGAACTTATTTGGGTCGGTGGAGTAATCTCAACAATTGGTTCAATACTTGTTAGTATATATTTTAATGCCAACTCGACAACAGGCCAACAAGTTGGTTTTTTATTAATAACGGGATGTGGATTTGGTTTAGTAGCACAAACTACATTACTTTCTTTACAAAGTTGTGTAGATGTTGAATATTTGGCTAGTGTTACTGCTATGTATAATTTTAGTCGCGTTAGTAAGTTTTTTTTTTACTTTAAAATTTAAATCCGTATGATTTCTTCTTTTCTAGTTTTCATTCTCTAAACCTTTTTTTTTAAGTTGGTGGTATTTTTGGTGTAGCAATTTTAGGTGCAATTTTCACTAATACACTTAATGCAGGACTTGCTACCTATTATTCTCAATTACCACCAGGTTCATTTGATTTAGTATTAGCAAAAAGTGATGTATTATACCTTTGGCGATTAAATGATACGAATATAAGGCAAAATATTATGCAAATTTACGTTAATGCGTTACAAGCTGCTTATAGGATTAATATTCCAATTTTAGGCGGTTCTGTTCTTATTAGTTTGTTCATTAAGGTGTGTTTTAATTTATATTATTATTATTTGCAATTGTGCATATTATAATTATTATTGTTTTTTTTCAAATTATACAGCATTATGAATTAAAAAAGACAATAACGCGATAAAACAATCCAACTCATTACTATGAATAAATGCTGTCACAAGTCGGTTTTTATTTAGTACATACGTACGCGACAACCTGGATGCTGAAGTCGAACGTACCATGTACTATACACACGAAACTCAAAACAACGTTTTTTAAAAAAAAAGTCTGAATTAGTTTATAAATATTATTTATATTAAATCAAACTAATGCTGATTTATAGTTAAAAGTTTAAAAAGATATCAAACTTTAATGTTTATCTTCGAAAAATTCTTTTAATATAAAAATAAATTAAAAGATTTATCTTGTCACACAGATAATTCATATAGACTTTTTTATTATTATAATATATCTCTATTATGCTTTGCGCCTGCTTGTAATATCAAAATTTTTCAATGTTGTAGATTATAATGAAAATATTAAAAACCCTGCTTATATTTAAATTTAAATAAATGCTTTCAAATAATTTTTAAATTGCAGCGAGTCGTGTTCAATAAAATATACTACGTATCAGTGTTGGACGATGATACATATAAATACATGACTTGTCAAGTATTTGCCATATTACAATATCATGTTAAGTGTCATATATTATTTTATTCTATTTTATAAGAATTTGCCACCCGACAAAGTTTGCCGATCAAATCGACGTACGTATGTACTACGTACGTATACGCGCATCTAGTTTTTCGCATATTTCATTGAAACATATTAAGCGGCATTTTTCTTAATGGCGCCTATTATTTTTTTGAATTTATAACACTACGTACAATGCAATTCCGACTGATTACGACATTTACATGTCAGAGTAATCAATGAGTCCCGATTACTCTATTATTACTACATTTTTTCCCATTACTACATTTTTACTGTTCATTACTTTATCTTTACGACACTTTTGATTCATTACTACATTTCGTGTAAATAGTTATTATTCTTCGTAATAGAATAATTTTAGCTAGATGTATATATAAAGGAATCACTATATGTAATGAGAGAAGACAGATAGACAGAACTCTCTTTAATTGTATAATAAATAAATTGCTCTTCCAATATAATCTAACACTCATTTTAAATACCCTAATGTTTCGGCTTAAAGCTAAATCTGGCAACAAAACTCATATGTAAGTCTCTCCCAAGCCGTGACACCACAAATATTGTTATACAAATACATGTGCAATGTAGATTATTGGATCTGTACGTACGTATTATGAAAAAATTAATATATATACTGTCACGGGCAGTATAAATCGTGACCACACAAAACGTGACTCAAACGACGATCGGGACCTGGATCGATGCACG